CTACTCACCACCAGGTGGTGATCAGTTGACAGCTCCGCCCCTCTCTTCACCCGAGTGTCCAAAACATGCGGCCGCAAATCCGATGATACAACCACAAAGTCAATCATCGAACTGCGGCCTAGGGTGTCCTGGTGCCAAGTGCACATATGGACACCCTTATGCTTGAACAAGGTGTTCGTTATGGACAATCCGTGACGAGCACAGAAGTCCAATAACGAAACACCACTCGAGTTCTGATCGGGGGGCGTTCCTCCCAATCACGCCCGTCCAGGTCTCACTGTCGTTGCCCACGTGAGCATTGAAGTCCCCCAGCAGAACGAGGGAGTCCCCAGCAGGAGGACTCTCCAGCACACCCTCCAAGGACTCCAAAAAGGGTGGGTACGCTGAACTGCTGTTAGGTGCGTACGCACAAATAACAGTCAGGACCCGTCCCCCCCCACCCGAAGGCGGAGGGAAGCCACCCGTCCCCCCACCCGTAGGCAGAGGGAAGCAACCCTCTCGTCTACCGGTGTGAACCCCAATGTACAGGCACTGAGCCGGGGGGCAATGAGTATGCCCACACCTGCTCTGCGCCTCTCACCGTGGGCAACTCCAGAGTGGAAGAGAGTCCAAACCCTCTCGAGAGAACTGGTACCAGAACCCAGGCTGTGTGTGGAGGTAAGTCAGACGATATCCAGTCGGAACTTCTCTACCTCGCACACCAGCTCGGTCTCCTTCCCTGCAAGAGAGGTGACATTCCATGTCCCTAGAGCTAGCTTCTGAAGCCGAGGATCGGACCGCCAGGGTCCCTGCCTTTGGCTGCCGCCCAGCTCACACTGCACCCGACCCATTTGGCCCCTCCCATGAGTGGTGAGCCCATGAGAAGGGGGACCCACGTTGTCTCTTCGAATGGGTTATTCCATTCAGCGCATTCGTTTTCTATGTCCTGTAGTGCTTCAGCTTAATTGTTAGCACATGACGTGACTGCTGACAATCATGCGTGTAGGCTTGAAATTGCCCCTCGCGAGTCATTGAGATTTGAAAAAATAAAAAATAAAAATAAAAAAAGGAGAGTTGATCCTTGGTGCGCCGGCGTCCTACTTGTGCACTTCCTGCGGTGTGCTGAAGCTGTCGTACACGTTGGCGGCAAACTCCTTCACGTCGTTGTTCATCAGAAGCTCCTGAAAGACACAAACTAAAACTAATAACTTTGGGATTTTTCAGAAGTTGGAAGTTTTCATTTCACCTTTTCAATTTGGATTCAGAGAGTATTTCCTTCCTCCTTTTCATAAAATGCTTAATTGTAGTTGACTTTTTATCAGTGTCACGCTGGTCTTTTTCATAGGGCACGGAAATTTCTCGGCATAAATACTGAGTAGCAAGAGACGCTTTTTGAACTCATTGACTGCCACTGACATTTTGATTGGTCAACTGGAATGCAATCGCTTACTGCCAGACAATATATTGCTCAAGTACTTTTCTCAGGCACGCATGGAGGAGGATCTCGCTTGCCCAGCTTGTCTGTGGACTTTCACTTTCTTCCCAACTGTAATGATGAACAGATGCCAGTAGATCACTTTGGATTTGACATCAGCGCAGCTTTTGAGACGAAGATAAAGATGGGCGGCGGAAGTCGATTTTTGAGGGAAAGAAATGGCAACACGTTGGGCAGCAGGACAAGTTTAGCCACCTTGCATGCAAACACGATATGTACTATATGTGTGGTATAAACAGGGAATGCGTTGTGGTGGGTAGTGTGATAAAGTGTGTGAGAAGTTGAGAAAAGGCCACATGTCATGAAGTGAAAGGCAAACGGCATGTACAAAAAAGCAACTGACAACACGAGCCAGGCGGTGAGTCAGTTCCCTCTTTTGCTTTTATTTTAATTTCGTTTAGCTTCTGTTTATTCCCGGAGTTTTTCGCTTTTTTTTCTCCCCATTCGTTTTATTGGTCACTACCAGATACAAATGTGTGATGATGACGATGATGACTATTACCTGAACAAAGTGACCCGGCGTCTCGCTGCAGATGGTGTTGATCTGACCGTTGATGATGGGGATGATCTTGGCCAGCGGAAGACTGATGGACGGCAGACTAACACACACACACCGTAACACAGGAGAAGACGTCAATACAACCTGTAAAAATACAACTTCACACTGATCACTCATCAGCGGCAATATCACAGGCTTAAACAGACACAGGCGTGCACCCACACACAAACTGACCTGTGAGGGTCGGTGTGGTGGGCGGGGTCGGTGTGGTGGGCGGGGTCGGTAGGCGGCGGGTGGAAAAACTGCGCCAGGTTGTCGAGGAGACGAGTGAATCCTCGTTGCAGGCACGCAGTCAACACGGTGTTGAAGTCTGGACTGAACATACAACATCAGCACACGTGATAGCGTGTTTGCTGGTGTGAGCACGTGAGGAAGAAGGTGATCAAATGGCTACCTGTCCATCATGTCTCTGGTCTCGTTGAGAAGGCGGATGGTCAGGACATCCCTTTCAGACAGACCGCAAGCCTGGACAAAAAAAACAAAACAAAAAAAAAAAAAAACAGATTTTCAAAAATGAGAAAAATCAATCAATCCTTTCTAAAGATTGGAAATAATTGTTTTTTTACATGACAAAATCATTTTCTATCCCAAAACTGTAATGATGTTTTTTTCAAACATGGCATAAGAATTTTTTTCCCTCCAAAGATTGAAATAAATTGTCTGTGTTAAAAAAATCTGACTTTCAAAAATGAGAAAAATAAATCAATCGTTTCAAAAGATCTGAAATATTTTACATGACAAAATCAATTTTTATCAAAAAACTATTTTATTTTTCAAACATGGGACAAGAAAATATTTTTCCAAAAATTGAAATAAATTGTCTGTGTTTAAAAAAAAACATATATAGAGGAAGAGAGGGAAGAGAGAGAGATTTTTTTCAGTAAAAAAATCCAAATAGGAAAAATATAATCATTTTTGAATAATAATAATAATAATAATAATAATAATAATAATAATAATTTTTTTAAATCAACTTTCTTCAAGAACCCCCTCCCACCAATTTTTGGATGTGCACTATTTCGACTGAGCAGCGAGGATCTGGTTTGGTCAGTCATTTGGAAGTGTTTGTGGTTTGCAAGCAGTCGGCTGCGTGTCTGGACCTGATCGGCGAGGGCGTTGTCATCGTCGGCCATCATGTAGGAGGAGAGCGGACGGCAGGGGCAGGCCTCCACCTCGGCTCGGATCCAACTAATGTGCTGCTCCAGCTCCAGCAGACTCAAACTTTGCTTCAGACATACGCTGCACACACACGCAATGCGCAATTAAGTGTGTGTCAGTGTACAATGTTTGTGTGTGTCTGTCATTGTCTTAGGGCTCCCATTCTAAAATGGGCTGTTTATTGATAAAACAGAAGCATCATACGTCGTTTGGTTTGGTCTGGAGTTCTTTCTGAGACTGGAGGTCAATTTGTGCAATAATACTAATTGAGAAGCGGAGTGGTTGTTTCTTCTTACCCATCCAGGGAGTTCTGCACCGACTTCTTCACTACAGTGATCAACTGTGTCAATCCTGCACAAGCAGAGAAACACAACTTTATTAGTTATGGACTGATATAAGAAGCAAGTGTCTTTTAAAAAAACAATTTATCGATCAGTGTTGTCCTTACCGTTGCCGAGGAGATGTTGAATGCTGGACAAGTACTGCTGCTGCACCTCTGGTGGTGCCTGAGGGGTCTGACAACAGGAAACAGAAACACATCAAACTTTTCATTTACACTCGAAGATCCCCTTATAGTGCGAACATCAATTAAATATCATATCCAAAGCGGGATACCGTAACAGATCACAAAACGATGGAATTTGTGTTCTCAAAGCTTCCCAGCGCGTTCCTCACCGTGGGGGGCTTGCCCACAGAGTTGTCCAGGTAGAGGTAACCTCCGATGATGTTGAGCTGGATTCTCAGAAGAACCACCAGCATGCAGGTGCTGTACACGGCCACGAGGCTGCGAGTGAAACCTGCCAACGGCGGACGCTTAATGAACCCAAGATGAAGAAAACGCCAGCACACGGATCGAAGCTGGACTTACTGATGATCTTCAAATCCTCCCAGATCTCCACTTTATTGGCCGGCCTGTCAGGATGAGGAGAAGACAGCAAAAATGTCAGCAGGTTCTCGGGCAAACTCTATTTGGGCTCTACTACTCGACAATGCCCTACCCACGGAAATTAGAAATGTTTAAATGGCCACCCAAGAGTCATTTCTACATTCTCACATTTCAATAAACCACACCGTGTATGCAATTAGTTTCTCAGCCTGCCTGCTGGATTTTGGCCCGTTTTACTGCCATTATTCACCCTCTATAATCAAAGCCTGTCTTGAGTTCAAATTTAAAACGATGCAACGCTGCCATCCACTGGTGTTTGTTTTTCAGTACAGTTCTGTATGAGCTTGAATTTCACAGAGACCTCGGCAAGTCCCTCTTCCAATCCTACCCGGTGAAAAACGTACACGATGAACATATTCAGCAGAGGTAGGAAACATTTGGATTCCAGTTGACTGACGTATAAGATCCACAACAGTGAATTCATTCGTGACATACGAATAACCTTCACAGGACTTGACTTCATTTAAACTGTGAGAGGAGAAGAGTGACACTAGCCTGGTCTTTAGTATCGCAGTGAGGCTTTCCGAGTTGAGCTGGTTGACGATGGCTTCTCTCAGCGAAGGCAACATAGACACGACTGAGAAACACACACACAAAGCACACCTTAACAACTTTGCACCTATTTTTAATTCCTATTGTTGGTGTTGACTTCCTTACCAGTCATGTTGCACGTTCTCTGGTTGCTCTCAAAGTGGAAATGGCGTCTGGCCTGAGCGATGTATTCGGTGGCCTCCTTCTCTTGGAGCTCCCTAAACTTGGATCGGGCATATTTGCCCAGGAAGTACACACCTTGTGGGAGGGCAAATGGGAACGTATCATACATACATTGGCAGTAAAATGAAATATCATGACGTATTGACGATTTAAAAGACAAATCGTTATACTATTTTCTGTCAATTTAAGAATATATGGTCCATATGTCTAACATTTATTATAATATTACAAATAGGCGAAAACCGTTGAGCTTGACACAACAAGGAAGAAACACGTCAATGGAAAGAATGAAGCACTTATTAACACACAAAACTATCTCACCATGGGACTACTGTATATCCGAAAGTCAAGACGACTCGGACTAAGATACTCATTCACCAAGTGAATTCCAGAGTGTAGCATTAGCACACAGGCTAACAGTTTCTACTGTACCTCCAACTACAGCTCCGGTGAAGATAAATTTCCTCTTGTGACGCTTCACAAAATTCCAAATGGAAGAAAACATCCTCACACACTGGGGAATGCCCCGCGGTGAAAAAGTCAACAAAAGAGTCCGTACATTTATCTTTGGACGCGGTGTTCCAGCAACATGATCATGAGCTCACGAGTTTCTAGTCTTTAGCTAAGCCGGGTTAGCAGCATGCTACCTGTCGATCGAATCGCGAACACGGAAGTCGTGCTCGACGTCACTACGTCACTAGACGCAATTTATTTAAAACTGATTAAAAAAAAAGAGAACATGATATTTACTTTTGAATATAATTGGGAAGGTAAGACACATTTAAAACATACTTATTATATCAAGAACTTTATCAGGAAAGTTCAAGAATTTGATCATCGATGCATAATTTGCTCCTCAAACTACAGTTAGTTAAAAAGGGAAACAGGTCCGTCCAATATTATCTTCCCCATTTCATACTGCTTCCGGAGTTCAAAAGCCCTCCAACAGAGCACACGGAACAGTGAGACCATTTTTGTTGTTGTTTTTTTTTGTGTTTTAAATATATATATGCATTCTGCAACATTCTGGTTTTAGAAACACTACGCGAGGTTGCCATGACAGCGGAGGAGAAGTTTAAAGCTGTGTTTTCTCCGACTGACGAAGAAGTTGCAAAGTGGATGGACTGCGCTTTCGAAATGGTGACTCGACTAATCAACTCTTAAAACTTTGCTTAAAAGTTACTAAATTACTGTTTATTGTGTGTGTTTGCGTGCAGGCAAAAGAGGCGTTGAACAATGGAGAAGTTCCAGTGGGGTGTTTGCTGGTCTACAAGGACAAAGTGGTCGGGAAAGGACGGAATGAAGTCAACGAAACGAAGAATGTAGGCAGAGCCATTCTGATTTGTACCATCTCCCCTTTTTCTCGAATTAATGATTTCGTTTAATATGTATATAAGTGTGCGCGTGCCCGCGCGTGTGCGTGTGTGTGTGTGTATCTGTTTCTTCACAGGAATCAAAGTCCCTCTGAAGAAATATTTTCTTCAGAGGGACTTGGAAGCATCATTAATATAAATTGGGATTGTGTGCCTGTAAAATAGCCCCTCTCTGTTGCCAGACATGTTGTTGGTGTAATCAGTGCACATCAGCAAGAATGTGCTTTCAACTGTCGCAGCCGCTTTCAAATGTACAAGAATCCCTCCACTCGGCTGCTTGAGATTATTGTGCGTGTGTTTGTGTTTGAGGCCACCAGGCATGCAGAAATGGTGGCCCTGGACCAACTCCTGGATTGGTGTCGCCTTGGCAACCAGGATGCTAGGAGTGTGTGTGAGCAAACGGTTTTGTATGTCACCGTGGAGCCCTGCATCATGTGCGCCGCTGCGCTCCGCCTTATGAGTATCCTTCAACTCGCGTCTTAATATCTTCCAAAGTAGTCATGTGATTCTTCTCATCTTGAGTGCGTGTGTTTTTTCCTTGACCGTGCGGCGGACATTCCATTGGTGGCGTATGGCTGCGGGAACGAGCGCTTCGGAGGCTGCGGCTCCGTCTTGGATGTCTCTTCGGCTGAGCTGACTCGCACGGGAAATTCCTACAAGGTCACCACGACTAACTTTGTTCACACATGCGCACGTGCGTGTGACAATGACTGAGTGTGTCTATGTGTGTGTTTCTGTGCATGCGCAGTGTGTCATGGGCCACAGAGCGAACGAAGCCGTGGAGATGCTGAAGACGTTTTACAAGCAGGAGAATCCCAACGGTCAGCATTGAAACCGACACTAACCACATATAAATGTCATCCGGTTAACTTCTTCATGCACTTGCATAAACTGTAAATCACATTCAAATATGACCCAAAAAAACAAAACATGCACACAAGTGGGCAGTCTGACCTTGCAACAAGATTATTTTCATTTCCATGATTTTCTAATACTAAACTACATTTTTTTTCTCTTTCAGCACCCAAACTCCAAACCAGGAAGGAGTGAGACAGATTTTGTTTGAATGTTTTGTATTTGTTTTCTGTTGTTATTTTGAATACAGTCTAAGCTAGGCGTGGCAAAGTCTCCCGCCATTACACCTGATTCAAGTGATGAGCTCATCAGCAAACTTTGCAGAAGCCTGATAACGATCCTGATCATTTCATTCTGGTGTGTTGGAGGAGAGAAAACGTGGAGGATAGCGGCGAGGACCGGAGTCGCCCACCATGGTCTACTCTAAACTACCAAGTGGCATGTTTGAAAAAGAGTCACTTCAAATAGCCTGCCAGCAGGGGGCGCAGCCGATGAACTGACAACTTTGTACTACTGAATTTGCAATTTTGACTGCATCTTACAAGCATTACATTGCTTGTCACAACCTTCCCTTCACACTTAACAGGAAAATGGTAGCGCCAAACGCACTTCTACTCATGAGCATGCAAATATATGCAAATGTAGGGGGGGTATTTGAGCGTTTGGATGTCACCGCAGAGGAAGAGAAGATGGCTGAAGAAGAGAAAGCACACACTTGTCAGATTTCAAAACGAGCATCGTCGAATAGGAGACGTCACTTTTTGGAAAAGTGAGACGACAGCACCCGTGAAAATGAACAACACATTTCTTTTTTTTTAAGACAGTAAAGAGTTGCGTTGATGTCATTCTAACGTCCCTAATGAAGTGTCTGGTGAGCGTGAAAGGACAGAAAGGACAAAGAGCAACTTTGTGGATTTATTGTTTATTAAGTTAAACATTCAAACCTGATCCAATAAATATGCTTTATATGCAGAGTTCTGCATCATGTTTGTTCACCTTTACCAATCAACAGTCCATCCCCGAAAAATAAAAACTACAAACTTGTACCTTGACCCGATTAGGTGTATACCATCTTGCCAAAGCATCCCCCAAATGTCATCGAAGCGTGTAATATGTCACCGAATCCAACATGCAACCTGTGTGATCGTATAACTTGGAATCGATGTGCTGCTTTAATAGCGCCCCCTGCAGATCAATGACGATCACCACCACCAGAAAGTGACACTTCATGAGCTCGATATGCGAAATGTGTTACTGTTGATCTGTAAGCTTGCTCAGAGGTCAACACTGTGCCATTGTCACAAATGTCCAGTGGTGCCTCAAGATAAGATCACTTGTTCTGTGATCACACCCACAACTCGCTTGTGTCCAAAATTGTCTTTCTCCAATGAAATGAATTGAAATGCCATTAAATGGCCTAAGGGTAGATTGGCAAAATGAAATTCTGAGGAATTTCCTCACGCTGTATCAAGTGAGTCGGCATTGTGCTTTGCTTTCTGGTGTGCGCACCTTGGCCACACGGGGGTACTAAACGACAAATGTATATTCTGTTCTTTGAGATGTCGCAACTCTGAGCTCATCAGTACTGCAGTAACATTCTTTCTACGCTGAGGATAAAGAATACGACTATTGCTATTGTCTGTCTACATGTGTTGCTGCACACTTGTATCTCAATATTTTGCTCGCGAGAGAAATCTTAAAAAAAATAAAACAAATTTGTAATTGGGGTCACTCGTCTCTCAAGGCACCACTGTACAAAATATAATGTAACAAGCGATTTGGAAAGCCTGATCAGGACCTTTTCATATGACCCACGAGAGTACGAGCAGCATGCTGAAAAAGTGGATACAGACTCTGTCTCACAGTTGAGAGATTCTGGGTTTGAATCTCACTTTGGAGTTTTCCAGTGTTTGTGGCGCTTGTATCTTGTCCCTGTGCTCAAAATGCTTGTCATATATGCTAGCTTCATTGGACACTAAACCGTTTGTCTGGATTGGCTCTGCGATTGGCTGGCGACCAATCCAGGGTATACCTGGCTCCTCATTCAAAGTCAACCGGGGCCCATCCATGACCTCGATGAGGACAAACTATCAGAACATTGATGGATAGAGTGCAAGCGCTTGACATTGACTTCTGACTTGGTAGGAGTCACAGTTGATCTTGTGGCTTGGTTGAGGTTTTTGAGTCAGTCCATTAACATGTAAGGAAATCGTGACAAAATGAAGTCACGACTGTGGTGCCCTCGTTGAGACCTCTCATTTGACATATGACGCCATGTGCTTTCAAGAAGATCCATTTTGACCTGGCTATGTGTTGATGAGCAAGTGTCTGTTTGTGTGTGTGTGTGTGTGTGTGTGTGTGTGTGTGTGTGTTGTATTGCTTTGGCGAAATAAAGAAAAGGGGTAAAGTGTGTGTGTCCCGGTTCCCGTTTTCAGGCTTGTTGGTGCTGATGGATGGAGTTCAAAGGTCACACCTCTGCAATCCTTGTGCTGTCTTGGTGGGCGGAGCTTGACATGTGACCTCACATGTGTGTGACTCCACTGCCATGCACAACTCAAGTTCACTCACCTTTGACCTTGGCTGCGGAGAAAGGGAAACTTTTAGGAAGTTTTGGGAAGTGTGTGCGTGTGTGTGTATGTGTGTGTGTGTGTGTGTACTTTTGCATGGATATACAATCTGTACCATTTGTGTGTGTGTGTGTGTGTGTGTGTGTGTGTGTGTACCTGTATGCGGCTGGTCCCAGATGTAGCTGTTGAGTATTTCCCCGAGCACGTAGAAGACGCAAAGGACGGCAGAGAGTACGGAGAAGAAGAGGAAGCGGCCGAGCGACGTGATGCGCTCGAGGATGGGGTACACCCACATGCCCGTCACCTGGTGCACCCAGTAAGTCCTGCGCGCACACACACGCACGCCACACACATAGTGCAAAACAAAGAGATGAGCACAAGCTGTGGCGCGGGCAAGCAGAAGACGACTGAGAACGGCCGCACCAGAGGATGTAGCCCATGCCGAAGCAGCAGACGGCCGCCAAGCCGCACCACCTGCTGGGGTACCGATGGCGGGTGGTGCGCATCTCGATGATGATGAACGGCAGCACGGTGGTGTGCTGGAAGGGAGGAAATAAATCGCACATTTCAAGATGGATCAGAAATGTGCTATTATCGTTACCGGTGAACTTCACGAACCGAACCTTTCTGTAAGTGGAGGAATGCCGGCGTCAATTGACACACGGTTGCTCTACTTAAGATTTTAAATGGCTTGAACTTGAGGCGAACTCGACATTTCGACAAGTTTTCAAGTTGACATTTCGCCGCAGACTTTAAGGAGCTTATCTCGCGCTCGGCGGCGGGCAGGCATGCTCGCGCTCAACAACCGACATCCCCCCCGCCAGAATGCTTTCAACTTTGAACCCTTCCTGCTGCAACGGGCGCCTTTCGATGGTCACAATGGGGACATTAAGCACATTTGAGGATGATGAAAAGAACATTTTTTTTTTTTTTTGCTCTTTCTTGAGTTGTGCCTTTCTCTCCTTTCTTGACATCACCCGACCACTCCCTCCAGCGATGGGAATAATCACAGTTGCCATGGCAGCCAGTACAAACATGACACATCGATACCATGGAATACTGCTAAATATTTACTTCCAGAACCATGGCGTGCGCACACACACACACACACACACACACACACACGCATGCACGCACACACATATACACACACACTTGCAGGTTGGTGGTGTTCTGATTGTTTTGGTCCTTGGCGAGACCACCGTAGCAACCATTTGTCTATTGCATCATTTTCTGGAGCGCAAAAGACACCTTCCATGCTTCCATGCATGCATTCACACATACACGCACGCACGCACGCACACGCACGCACGCACGCACACGCACACACGCGTGCACACGCGCATGCACGCGCATGCACGTGCGCACACACACACACACACACACACACACACACACACACACACACACACACACACACACACACACACACACACACACACACTCGGTGTGTGTGCCTGTATCATCGTGGGAAGTGGAAGTTGGCGGGATGATTCAAATTCAGTCTTTTAATGCTCATCAAATTCATCAGCGACTGTGATAATTCTTTACATTTTTTTTTTAACATGCTCTTTGTAAATCAGAGATTTTCAACCAATGTAGGTGGGTCTTGAACCCAGCCGCTGGGGGGCAGTGCCCTCCCCTGGGGGTGCACTGTTCCCCAGTGCCGGTCCCAAGCCCGGAGAAATGGGGAGGGTTGCGTCAGGAATGGCATCCGGCGTAAAACTTTTGCCAAGACGACCATGCGAGTTGGTAGGACGGTTTACAGGGGCGGATGGAAATTACTGACTCGCTGTGGCGACCCCTGAATAGGGACGTGCCGAAAGGAAAAGAAGAAGAAGAAGTAGGTGGGTCTTGAATTACTGACCCCATGCCCCCGCCCAACAATCCAACCTCACCATGCCATGGTTGAGCCACTGAGGGATGAAGTTGTCCAGCAGTTTGGGGTAGATCAGCTCTCGGTCATAAAGGTACAAACTCCAGAAGGTGAACACCACAAACTGCAAACACAGAAAAGGAGCCTGTCAGCAGACGTGTACGTAGAATACAATAAAATACATCTTTATTTATCTAGCACAGTGGTGTCAAACATACGGCCCGCGGGCCGGAACCGGCCCCCAAGGAGGTTCCAGCAGGCCCGCGGGATAATTTAAAAGTGAAAAAATGCATAAAATACACGGAATTTGTATTTTAATAAAGTGCAATTCATGGAGTATACGCTAGGGGGAGACACTGTTTTGATCAGAGTTGAAGGCAACATTGTTTTGATCAGAGAAGAAGACAACAGTCGCTTCATATCTCACTGAGACAGACCCAACACAGCAGACGCTATCGAGGACGTGTGAATACTTTATTCTTTACACATTTAATAGCACTCTCCTTAGTTTGTAAGGTGAAGGCAGGGATTAAATTTAGATTATATATGCACATGTGTAAATGGTTGAAAAAATCCTTTCTTTATAAATCTCGTTTAATCTTAAAGTGCATTACTATATTTTTTAATACGAATTACTTGTTAAAGTTGTGTGCCTTTGTGCAATCAGTGGGATCAGTTGCAATGCATATATGTGAATGACCAAAGTAAATTGCACATTTGTCTCAGGAAATCTAAGGTGCTTCATGAAATGTTTTGTAAAGGATATGTTCATTAAATTTCAACATTTTCCTAATGTTCTTGTGCTTCCTTAGACCAAAACAAAGGAAAGACATATTTTAGTTAATTATAGCAGAGCATGGTAAAATTTTAATGGTCCGGCCCACTTGACATCTACCGAGGCCGTATGTGGCCCACAATGTCAAATGAGTTTGACACCCCTGATCTAGCACTTTCAGAACAGCTGCAATTCAAACCAACAAGTTTGCGGCGCTTCAATCAAGAGCCAAGCGCTGCATTCAGGAAGGATGGGAAGTCTGTCCTTTTGAGTCCAAAAAGTACGATGGAAGTCACAATTCCTAATCGGCAAATCATCATCGTCTGTCCTGAGATGCAATTTGACATCTGCGATTATGTGGAATATACTGCATTTTTTTTTCTTCCACTGGCTCATGCAAGCGCTGACTTTGTATATTTTGCTCCAGTTGTGTCTTTGAATCACTGTGACGAGTGGACATCCAATTGGCCGGCATTAAAATCCTGACGCATTATCAACATGAGACAAGCCGGCGCTCATCTTGTGTTACATGATGCCTGAAAAACCATCGGAAAAAGTCCGCGGTGATGAGATTTCGGGAACGAAGAGGAGGATACGATCCACATCTGTTACCGATTCTGCATTTCTGTGCGTGTCCACCTGCTCACCACGCCAAAGGGGAAGGCCAGGACGGCCAACATCCAATCCCTCAGGCCAATCAGCTTCCTGAGCTGCCTCTCCTGCTCCCGGTTTTCGCCGGCTCTGGTCATTAGACTAGAGACGTCGATCAGCACGCAGAGGGCAAAGAACACCGCCTGGATCACCTGCAATGTAACGTTCAAAGATGATAGACAGCTCTCAAGTCTCCTGCACAAGAGTCAGAAATCAACTTCAGTCACAACAATGGGCAGGATGTACTGATACTTTTGTAGCAATATTGTATGCCAATATTTTTAGAATCGATTATCTGAGTAATTGAAAAAAAAAAAAACCAACAACAACAAAAAAAAAAAAAGAATTTGCATGGTGAAAGTGAGGTACAAAGCCTCACGTTTGACTGTACGATGTTTGACTTTGAGTGTGTGTGGCTTTAAAAGGCGGGGCCTGGGCCGGTGAGTGATGTGTGAGTCAGCCAATGAGCGTGCCCAGCTGCCGTGTTCTCTGCTGCCATCTAGAGGCAGCATTTCTCATTTTTGACTCACAACTTCAAGTCACCAAAAACTGAATAAATATGAGCGAGCGATGGTGCAAAAGTCGGAAAACACACCCAAGTTGAAAAACAAAAGGAAATGGCAGAAAATTTAAAGTAGCAACTGCTATTTCTACGGGTTCCATCCTGGGCATTTTTTTCAAAATAAAATCATTTTTAAGCCATTTATTTTTAGGGTCATATTGTCAGTTGTGTTTGAGATGACATTTAAATTTTCAAGGGTATTTTCTTTTTTAATTAGGTCGACTGATCGACAGCTAATCAATGATCAAATTAATCAACAACTATTTTGATAACCAGTTAATCATTTAGATCCCGTTGCTTAACTAAAATTGTTGTGTTTAATCAAAATAAGACATTTGCATGCGGCTGTCAAGTAGAACTCTGAGGCTGCAAAATTCACACATGACTCGACTATCGACTTTCAAATCTTCAACTCGTAAGCTGTGTCTCACCTTGAGCATCAAAGTGCGACTGGAGGCACAGATACCTTGGCTGCCTCAAAACATTCCATTTCAAGGAGAGCTGAGCTTGCCACGTAACAGGGAAGAGTCACATGGTCTCGTTTTCAATCAATAAATGTAGAAACGCACTTGGAAGCAATCCGATCCGCTGGGCTAAAAAGGGCAATCGCGCTGATTGCAGGCTTCGTTTGCGACCGAAAAAAAAAAAAAACATCGATCTTCACAGAGATAACAAATCTGGTTATGAGCCATGCTAGGTGTCGGGAGTAAGCTTCAGATGGAAAAAAAAAAAAATTCAATGTCGCAATCAACTGAGAGTGATTATCAAAACAGAGTTCCCTCATATGGCGAGCCGATTGACACCCACACAATATTGTCTTCTGTCCGAATGCTAGCAGCGAACCCACCCAAAGAAAGAATAGACTCTCTTCTTTCACCAGAACATAAGTTTGTTTCTAGCGCTGTCCATTCTTTAGTAATCAGCAGTCAAACAGAAGTTAGTTTCACCCAAAACTTCCATTTCTGACCAAAAAGAGGAGAAAAACTGATTTTTGAGAAAAAACACATGTCAAGCAAAACTGTCACTTTCTCAACTCAACTCAACTGTATTTATAGAGCACTTTCAAACAGCCATCGCTGCATACAAAGTGCTGTACATGGAGCAATTTAACATATACAACAAACAGTAAAGCAAATCGGTAATAAAGACGGTAGAAGGCACCGAACAGCAAAACCAAGAACAAATCTAAGTCACGCTGAGTCAAATGCCAAAGAATACAAGTGAGTTTTGAGGCGGGTTTTGAAGATGGGCAGCGAGGAGGCTTGCCGAATGTTCAGTGGGAGGTCATTCCAGAGAGAGGGACCAGCAACAGAAAAGGCTCAATCCCCTCTGAGCCTCCGTTTAGTTCTTGGTACTTCTAATAATGTCTGGTCCCGCAGACCTGAGGCGCCGGGCAGGTGTGTAGGGGCGGATGAGCTCAGACAGGTAAGGTGGCGCGAGGTCATTTAGAGATTTGAAAACAAATAAGAGGATCTTGAAAATAACTCTAAAATGTATGGGGAGCCAGTGAAGGGATGCCAGAGGAGGAGTTATGTGCTCCCTCTTACGAGTACCAGTCAAGAGGTGAGCAGCGGCATTCTGGACCAGCTGGAGACGCTTAATGGAAGACTGGCTGACTCCAAAGTAAAGGGCATTGCAGTAATCGAGCCGGGATGTGACAAAAGCATGAATTACTGTCTCAAAGTGTTCATGAGAGAGGAGAGGTTTTACTTTGGCCAGCTGTCTAAGGTGAAAGAAGCTGGATTTAACAACGGCACCAATTTGCCGGTCAAGTTTGAAATCACTGTCCAGTTTAAGGCCCAAGTTTGAGACTGTTGACTTAAGATAAGGAGACAGGAGGCCCAAGTCGACAGGATGGGATGTACAAGGGCCTTTGCTTTGACACAAATACAACAACAAAAATGAAACTGAGATGGGTGTTTTGATGGCAAAATATGAATTAATTTCCTCATTCTTTTTCTAACTTCCACTTGGAACTGTGACACATACTGTAGATAGTGCAGATGTCATGTTGCAAATCTTGTTTTTTGGTTTTAAAGGTTGTACGTGTTCTGTTGCGAGGCTGCTGCTGGCAACAATGGTCAAAATATCATCCGAGTACAACATGGCGCTCATGAGAAAAAATATGATACAGGACATTTTTTTTAGATTTGCAGAGCAATCTGAACCATTACTCAACAGCCACACAAGTCGATGCTGACAATGAAATTCAGTCATCCATAGATTAGCTTAGCGTGGCCAATCGAGGAAACTTCGAGAGGTCCCATGAAGATGAAAAAAAAACAATCGACCGCTTGTTCGCGTGCGCTCGCATGTTTTTCTACACTCTGCCTGTGTGAGAGCAAACATTGTTTTCGCAGGCAATTGTAAAAAGGAAGCTGTGTTTATTCGCACTCGTCATTCTGCCGTCACACACTAAATCCAATTAGACATCACTCAAACTTGTGCTCAGAAGTTTATGAACCCCGCCAGAATTTGTAGAATATTGGTTATTTTTGGGAAAACAGGACATGATTGAAAGCGGGGCATCGTGTTCTTTTTTTTTTTTTTTTTTTTTTAATGTTAACAACAGCTCTACTAATGTTTTCATTTGTAATTTTCAACCATTTTGTACCATTTAGCGATGGTTTTGCGCCACACTGCCGCTTATATTTACAGCATTTCAACCGTGTCATTTTTGGGCAGTGACAACTGTTGTAACGTGACAAAAATGTGACACAAGTTCCCCAAAATGAAAGTCTGTCAGACTTGGATGAATTAACGGCTGTTTGAAAACTGTAGTGTTTTATTTATATTGTGCACATGCTTAAAAAAAAAACCTAATCAAAAATATCTTGAATAAGGCGCGACATAAACGGCAAAAGCCACTGGCCGCAAAAAAAGTGTGGGGTTTTAAAAATATCTTAAAAAAAACATTGAACAGGTGCCAAATTAAAGTATCTTGGGCGTCCACCGTACTGCTGCTGTGACAATTTCACTCACGGATTGAATTCTTTCTTTTTATCTATGCATCCATCCATCCACCCCCATAAACATAAGAGGGGCAGGGCGGAGAAGGAAAATAAGTAGAACGAGAGATGGCTTCAAAGTGAAATAGGAGAAGTTAACACGGGAGAGAAAATAAAGGGTCGAAGCAGACGAGCAATTTGGCTAACATGTTAGTTCTCATGTTAGGTGGCTAGCAGAGAAGGCGGCGCGTCCATGGTGGACATCCTTCCTCACGAAAGCCGCCCCTGTTGGGCTGACGAAAGCAGAACCTCCTAGGTAAGAAACAAATGATTTGGTTTAGCTCAGCGCGAATTTGTTGAATCGCAAAGGCCAAACAAACAAACAAACAAACAAGCGCGCCTTTGAAAATGAAGCTAAGCTAGCCGGCTCCATAGGCGATAAATCCGATCCAAGCCGAACTGAGCCGAGCCGAGCCGAAGCTAAGTAAGGCGAGGCGAGGCGATGTGAGTCGAGGCGACGCTCACCAGGTCGATAAAGGTGAGGAACTTCCAGCTGCCTCCGTAGGTCTGGTGCGCCGGCATGTCCAGAGCCTTGTAGTGGCACAGGATGGAGAGGTAGGACAGCAGGATGGCGATGCGGAGGATCTGCGACGGGATAAGCGCCATAATGTCCTCCCCCGGCTCCCTTTTGCCCTTTTCTTGACCTTTTCTGGCCTTTGCGCTCCTCTAGGTGTCTCGTTGCGACGCGCGCCCTATGCGATTTTGGTGCGTCCGTGCTGCCTACTGGCGCACCCCCACCCCCCCCCCGTACAACCCCTGGCAAAAATTACGGAATCGCCTATCTCAGAGGATTCAGATTCAGATTCAGGAAACTTTATTTATCTCCATGGGGTAATTGGACTTAACAGTCACGCTCTGCAGGATGTTCATGAACTCCAAAAAAAAAAAAAAAAAAAATCCATCTAACACATATACAACCCCTGGCAAAAATTACGGAATCGCCTATCTCAGAGAATTCAGATTCAGGAAACTTTATTTAATTGGACTTAACAGGCACGCTCTGCAGGATGGTCATGAACTCCAAAAAAAAAAGCAGATCACAGACATGACACAAAACACGAGTCATTTCATATGGCAACTTTCTGGTGTTAAAACTAAAAGTAATCAAAGAAAAAAATGTGGTAGTAAGTTCCATTTTTAGACCAAATAAAGGAGGAAAAATATGGAATCCCTTAATTCTGTGGAAACAATTATGGAATCATCCTGTACATTGCCATTAGCAAAACTAACACCGACATCAGGTTTGAACTGCTGGTTAGTCTGCAAATTCAACAGAGATGACCACACTTTGGAGAGCTGTTGCACCAAGTGGACTGAGATGAATCAGTAACTGTTACTGACTACCAACATTTTTTCTTGATTTGTTTTAATGTTTCTTAAAGCCAGAAAAATCATCATCTGAAATGACTTCAGTTTTGGCCTGTGACCAGGCTTGGAACTCAAAAGTCATATCTGAAATCATCTCCCCTCACATAGGAATGAATGGAAACGCCACAAAACAACAACAAAAAAATATCACGTTTATTTTAGTGAGGAAAAAGAGCACTCCGAAATATATGACTTAATATTAATTTCCCTGCATATTTCAGCATGGGATGGCCGCACTCTGTCGCTGCCTACGTTTAGCAACTTTCTGGTGTTAAAACTAAAAGTAATCAAAAAAAATGTGGTAGTAAGTTACATTTTTAGACCAAATAGAGGAGGAAAAATATGGAATCCCTTAATTCTGTGGAAACAATTATGGAATCATCCTGTACATTGCCATTAGCAAAACTCACACCTACATCAGATTCGAACTGCTGGTTAGTCTGCAACTTAAACAGGGATGACCACACTTTGGAGAGCTGTTGCACCAAGTGGACTGAGATGAATCAGTAACTGTTACTGACTACCAACATTTTTTCTTGATTTGTTTTAATGTTTCTTAAAGCCAGAAAAATCATCATCTGAAATGACTTCAGTTTTGGCCTGTGACCAGGCTTGGAACTCAAAAGTCATATCTGAAATCATCTCCCCTCACATAGGAATGAATGGAAACGCCACAAAACAACAACAAAAAAATATCACGTTTATTTTAGTGAGGAAAAAGAGCACTCCGAAATATATGACTTAATATTAATTTCCCTGCATATTTCAGCATGGGATGGCCGCACTCTGTCGCTGCCTACGTTTCAGTGCATGACGACCCGTTGACGACAGCTTTTATGTGTATTTTTTTTCGTAAACTTCAAGTGGGAGTGGCATCACGCAACTTGAAGCCTCTTTTTTGATGGATGATTTATTCGTAGCCAAACTGGTTCTCATTAAATTAGTTGAGTTTAATGCCGCGTCCAGCACTTGCATCTCAAGGTACAATTTTACAAAGAAATTGATTTAGGAACTTGCTCACAGAACCAATGAAACTTGCAACACCGTATTTGTATGCAAGGCATCAAAAAGTACATTTTCCACTTTATCAGTCCAAGGAAGTCATCCATTCTGTTGGATCAATCCATGACAGCTTGAATGTGATTGGGTGAAAGTTTCTTTCAGTGCACTGAGCCAGAGCCTCTTATGGATTCGGCGGAGTGGAACCACAGCATGCTCATTTCCCGTTAAGAAGTGACAAAGGAATCTGAAAGTTTTCTGACTGACTCAGAACTCTGTTGTTGAAGTTTCGCGCGACAGAGCACGACAAAGCGCCATCAGGGTGCAGCAGACAGACGAGACCAGGGGAATACGAAGATGACCATGACAAGCTGTGTCGTCGGTGACAGAACGCAACCTGGATGCTCGCTGCTGTCTCGAAATGACATTATCCGTCAAGTCCCGCCCACACACGGCTGACCCGCGCTGCTAGTTGCAATTTCCGACTGGAAAACTCGGATTTGCAACTTGTAATAAACTTAACACACATTCCTTGCTTTTACACATGTTTACATTTCAAATGGGACTGTCCAAATTAACAGGTTAGTTTTCCTTAAAGTCACAATTTTTTTAAAACTTGCAATTATCGCACCACCATTAGTTGGTCTGGTAGTGTGGCGCACACCTACCGAAAGAGAAAGTCACACGAGTGGAGGGAGGATTTAAACCTGAGAGTAATGTTTTATTATTTGTTTGTATGCGTTCCTATGACACGCATGTGAAAATGTGTTCGTTGAATGTATACTACTACCATGACTTTAATGCTGAATTTTGTTAGCATGTCAATGGCGTTTTACATTGTGCGTTCGCATTCCGCCGGTGATGTTTGGAACAAGCTACTTGTTTGTAAAACGAAGTTTGTATAAATGTACAGTGTGCGTAATTGTTTTTGTCATGCGTTTAGTTTTATAGTGACAGTTTTACAAAATGTGCAATCTGTTGTTTGTTGTTGGGCTCGAATTTGAAATGTTTTAATCATATTTGCATACGGTAAGCGTATTTGCCCACTCGGATTTTGAGAAGAGTATTAAAAACTGGAACATTTAAGTTTTGATAATTTTACTTTGAATTCATACACTTGTCAATCCATCCATTTTCTACCGCTTATTGTCAATTGTTATGAAAATCATGTGAATCATGATTAATAATGTAAATCGATTGACGACTCTAATTCCAACGCTCAAGCCCAAAGTAGGGCTGCAGTTTATCGATTTGTTTGGTTTATTTCTTTTTAAATTCATGGGATTCTTACTGCTATGCTTAAACTAACGCAGCGGCAAACAAGATGAGCTAATTTACAAAAGTCATCTTGGGGTTATTTTAAGGCCAGATCGCACACAACCCTTAAAAACGTCACACAGTAACATTTTTACATACCGAATTTTTTTTTTTTTTTTTGCTATTCATGGGATGCCGTCGTTCAAAGTGTGTCACTACTACTGAACACAGCTTAACTAATGCGGCGGCAAACAAGATGAGCTCGTTTTCGATATTCAGGTTGTGTTTATTTTCAGGCCAGATCGCTCACATCCTTTAAAAAAGGCATTTAAATGTTACCGTTGTCAATTTTAAAGCTTTTTGTTCTTCGTGAGATTCCGTAGTTGAAAGTGCGTCACTGCTCCTGAGCGCTGCTTAAATTAACGCGGCGGCAAACAAGATGAGCTCATTTACAAAAATCATATTGGGTTTATTTTCAGGCCAGATCGCTCACAGCCCTTCAGAAAACGTCATTAAATGTTAACGTAATCAGCAATTAAGCTTTTTGGTGTTGTGTGTTTCATCACGTGTCATCACAATGTGTCAGTACCCCACGTGGCCACTGCGGGGTGCTGCTCCTTCCCACTCGTGTTCAATCTCACTGAAGATGTCCTTTTAATTTACAGGTAGTTTGAACTTTCGCCTCCAGCTGTTAAGTAATACCCGCGCCACACCTCGATACGCTCTTTGTGCGCGCGTGGGTGCGTGCGTGTTATGCACGTTTAAAGCGACAGCACGAAAGATTCCTACATGCAACGATGTTATGCAATGTTTGTACGTCCAAGTATGTTAACGAATGCAACCCGCCCACCACTAATCCGTGGGAGTCTGCAGGTGTGGTCGGAGCGGTTTGTGCACGCGCACGCGTGTATGAGTAAGCATTATTCATCCGTCAGCTGTCACAGGGGAGCTTTGTGTTGCGTTCAGGGACGAGAGCCCGAGGCGACCGGCTGTGTGCGCACTTGTTACTTTTTTTTTCCTTTTTTTTTTTTTTTACACTTTCAACGTCTTTGCGGTGACGACACTTTTGGCAAGCGCGTACTTTTTTTTTCCACCCAACTTTATTTTGTCTACCTGTACACCTCGCTTTATTTTCGGATTTGGATACATACATGTACGGTAATCCCTAGTTTATCGCGGGGGTTACGTTCCAAAAAGAACCAGTGATAGGTGAAATCCGTGAAGTAATGAGCTTTATTTTTTACAGTTATTAGACAATACTGAACAATATATACAATGAAACCAAAGACCAAAACCTGTTTTCAGGCCGAAACACAAAAAAGAAAACCAAACATTTTCAACAAATAACTATAATCGTTTTTGGAAATACTGTACTGTAAAATAATATTGCTTTGAGCGCGTCCTCGGGTGCCTTTGCCGGTGCAGAACGTTTCGTCGACATTGTGGGGTATGTATATGTATAAAGACGAGGTGCGGATACTGTTCACGTTGGTCAGTGCCTTAGCCAATCAGGATGCAGAACGCAATTCACTGTTTAAAAGAATTTTTAAAAACCGCAATAAAAAAAATCCGTGAAACAGCGAAGCCGCGGAAGATGAACCGCGTTGGAGCGAGGGATCACTGTACATAAATGTAGTACCCACTGAATTAGATAGACAACTTGATGAGTTACACATGGTCATTTGTAATACGCAGAAAAACAAACCAAAAAAAAATCAATGAGTCTACATGTTACACATGGTCATTTGTAATACGCAGAAAAACAAACAAAAATCAATGAGTCTACATGTTATTTCGCCTAAAACTATCAAACACACTTGTAAAAACAGATTACCACTTGTCATTGATGCTCACACCACATTTGTCAAAATAAATAACCTGCTTGTCACCTGTCATAACGGTACAAAATACTTGCCAAAAGACGGCCTGCATACATATTTCTTGGAGTAGTAAAGCAGACACCATATTCACCAAAAAGGATAGTGTGCATGACATTTATGCAAATGCAGATAGGGCATAGCTTCTTTGCATACTTAATGACTTCAAAGATGTATTAACAAGTTGATAGGTGGTATAGCGCCACCTACTAGAGTTATTGTTTGTCTTCAGGTGTAGAACGACTTCACACTCCATCAAGCAGTTTGGAAATAGTCCATTTTATTGCGATGATGACATGGTGAAGGCGCTCGCCCAGCTCAAAGTCTCTCCTGTCGATCATCTTTTTTTTTTTTTTTTTTTTTTGGGCCAATTATATTTAAGCCTCCATGTGTTGCCATGTCAACGTAATCTGATAAAGGCCTTCACAATTTGTAGATGTGGCCCAACTCTTCAAATTAGTCTTCCCCTTGATGCCATCGGCTTTTTCCCATCTTCTGGAAAGTTGGTCAGAACACATGAGAGTGGGGCGGGCAGGTCCGGGTCCCGCTGACATCCGATTTGGGACCCGACTCAGCAAGTTGCTGCTTTTGCACTTGTTTTTGTGTTCAAGTCAACAATGGCAGCAGGAGCTCGTGCTGCGGTCGTTTAAGGCCAACGACGAGTCTGAATCACATGACTCAACATCTGGCAACGCAGCCACACTGTAACCAAAGGGGGAGCAAAAATACTTGACAGAGTGTGCATGAGAGAATGGTGTGAACGTGTGGTGCATGTGTGTGAGTGGGAACGAGTGTGTGAGCTTGAGAGACTGCAAGTTTTTGAAAGCGTGTGAGAGTTTGCGAGTGTGTGTGAGTGAGAAAAGGTGTTGCCGAGTGTGGCTGAGTGTGCGAGGGTCTGTGTGTGGTTGTGTCGGCGTGAGCTCGAGTTTGCGAGACTGCAAAACGGGCGAGTCACATGATGTCTCGCGAGTGATTCTCAAGTGCGGCGGCGAGAAGTCACGCGGTCATCTTGAGCAAGCACGCCGTTTACCTCCCTTTCCTGCCTATGCAAATGGCCGCCGCGCCGTCGCCATGGCGCTCGTTGCCACGGCGTCACCGCTGACGAGGTCGTGCAACGATGAGCCTCTTATAGGTCGAGGCAGGCGTTAATCCACTTAGAGCTGGCCAACGTGCGCGCACGCACACGCGCACGCACGCACCTAGCTTTTTGCTGCACGCTGTCGGGAAAATGACAAGATTTTTCGCCGCAAAAGAACACAATGTGACACACACACTCACGCGCATGCACACACACACATGGCAGTTTGTTTATCATGTGTAACGAAAAGAGGAAAGTTTGGCGTTGAGATGCTGATTTGGGGAAAAGACGGTGATGAGAAATTTGAATTACTCGTGACCTTTTGACCTTTTGACTGCACGAGTGAAGTGAAGAAATAATGAAGCAATTAAGTAATGCCCTCGCGTGTGTGCGTGGAGTGTCACAGCCGCCTTTTCTTGAATGGGACAAATAGTCAAACACACAAATTCACCAGTACAGCAAGCACAAAAATCTGCTGTAGGCCACCACTCGCAGCCAGACGCTCACACGCAGGTTAACCCAATCCCCTGCGAATAGCGGGGCTAGACTGTATGTTTTTTTTCTTCTTCAAAACTCTGAGATGGGCTCCAAAATCCTGATTTTGAAGCGCCTAATTACATTTGATGATGTTTTTGATCAGCGTAGTGCAATTTTGATGTTCTTTTCTTCAAATGGGCTGTTCTGTTGCTCCTCTCAATGTTGTCACCTCCAAATGTCCCCAGCGGTCCTTGAGAAATGCGGCGGGTCGTCATTCCACATACCAGACCGCATATTTTTGGAAGCCCCCACCCTGGGGGACACCCCCACCCACCCCATCCACGTGAATCTCATCTTTGGATGCCTTTGGAAATCCCCTGACCTGAATATTTATTTAACCTACTGCCAGTCCAGACATTGACAGGGTGGCTCAGTTGACGCTGAAGTCACGTTGGCAGACATCAGACACATTCAGGGAACATTTTTCCAGGGAGGACACATGACTCCGTCTTGCCTGCTCAAATTTAACGCCATATCGCCCCCCCCCCCCACCATCCCCAAAAAATAATTCATTGAAAAAAAAATCCTGACAATGGCATGCTAATTTTGCCTGGGGCAGATGTACAGCAGAGATGTAGTTTAACCAAATTCCTCAGATGGTGTTGCCCAGCGATAGCCACGCCCACTTGGCTGGGGCAAACGCTGTTGCACCCCTGGACAGATGTTTCATTCCAGAATACTGGGAAGAAATGCGGGATTTATCTTGTCTTGCGACACTGTAATGTTACTTACGATATAGTTTTAGATGCCAAAAGAATTATACAGCACTTCAGTCAACCCTGATGTTTTGCTTCATATTTGCATTGGAACGACCAGTGTGTGTGGGTGTGTGCGTGCGCGTGTGCGTGCGTGTGTATGTGAAAGGATACACAGGAAGGAAGTCATCCACTGAGACAGTCAGAGACCGACAGGCAGACAGACAGTCAGAGAGACAGGTCGCTCCAGAGGTGACCGGGGAATCCTGCTCTCTTAAGCCGGCAGACAGAGCGTCGTCCTCGGCCAGTGCTCCTCCTTCCTCCCCTCCCTCTGCCCTGGTTGCGCACTGGGGGATCCGACGACGTCACACATGCGCGCGCACACACACACGCACACACACACACACACACACACACACACACACACACACACACACACACACACACACACACACACGCGCGCGCACACACACGCACACAGTGTCTGTCAGTCACTCCCTCTCGCCGCTGCTTCTATTCTGGGAAGTGGCGCTCGGAATAACCCCGTGTGAGCGTGCGCGCGATCGCGCGCGTGTGCGCGTGCGTGTGTGCGTGTCTCCGGATTTCACCCCGACACACGCATACGCTCGCATTCGCTCTGTGGCTGACTGCGGCGGCGGAGCTCCGTTACCAGAAATCCGGTCGGGAAGGATTTCTTCCGTTTTGACGCGCAACTTTTCTTCGCGCGGCTCTCGCGTGGATTCCTCGCCTCCGCCTTCGCCTCCGCCACCGCCGGCCGCCTTCCGTCTGTCCTTCCGTCCCCTCGTCCGACCTCAGGCGAACCGAGAGGTGTCAAGCCCCGGAAGGGAGCTGGCGTCACCGCGGCGGCTTGTTGTCATCCCCGCTCCCGGCAGGTAAGAGCCGCCTTGCCCCCGCCGTAGTCTTCTCTTGTATTCGCGGTCGCGTTGGAAGCCTCCTCGGTGGCCGGCGGACGAGCCGTTCGTGGCTGGCGAGTTCACCGCGGTGCAGTGGGGAATACCCCGGGCGGGCACGCGTTGCCTTGCATGCAGATTAGCCGCGTTGCGTAACAGCCCGAGGAATTTGCACGACCGAGCGCAGGCTGGCGAAGACGCGGGCTGAGGCAGGAAACCGACCGGCGATCGGGGACCGATCGTCGGCCGCTTGACAGCCGCTCGCCGGTGATGGTTAGTTACTCGTTTGGTGGATAATTGTTGCCAAGTGTTTCCGGGCTGCCAGTGACCTTATGTCGCCCTCGCTCGCGCTTTCATGTTGTGCTTGCTGCACTTTTTTTTTTAAGTTGTGTTAGTGCGTCCACGTCGGAAAAGGGTTGCATATTTGGGAAAGGACTTTAAGTGAGTGTGTGCTGTTTGTTTCCTCTGCGAGAGAGCGTCTGAGGAGCCAGGCTGGTGGGTGGTGCGCTGGCTGGTTCCGGGAATGTTCCATGACGTGTTGCCGTCGAGAGAAGGGCCCCAGCTGGGGAGACTCCGACGGAAGGCCGCCGCGTCCATGAAGCACTCCAGTCACATTTGGGGCATTTATTTCTTTTGATACATTTGCAATCTTTTCGACAGTGGACTGGTTCTTGATGAACATGTTAAGAGAAAAACGTCATTTTTGGCTGTAGTATTTTCGAAAAAAAGGATCCGCTGTGAATACTTTGTGGATGCACTATTTTTGTTGTTTTTATTTGTCTTCTTTTTCTCTTTTTTTAATGAATGGAGCAAATATTTGCTCGAAACTGCAGTGTGGATGTTATCCAACTATCCAGGAATTATGTAAATATTATTAATCAATATTTCGATTGCATGTCACACATTATTCATGGCTGCAAAATTGTTGTTTTTATTCAATCTTGATAATGTGACTGGCCCCCAGTCGAAAATTGACTTTTAAAAATTTGTTTTATATAATAGTTGTGTTTCATGAGCGGTTGGCCAACCATCAATATTGAAATAAACAACCAATTCAATCATTAGTCATTGTTTATCTTAAAATGTGTCTGTGCCTTACTATGATGTCACAGTGGGGCTTATTGACATCATAAATTTGCCCCGGCCAACACAAATGTTGCAATGACATCATTCTGCACAACAGCATTTTCAGTTTCATGAAAAATTAAGAATAGTTTGGCATTTTATTGACTAAAGTCCAACCGATTCTGATCCATTTGAAAAGTGCTCAAATTGGCCGACGGAAGTCGGCTAACCGACAAATTGGCCGGGCCCAAATAATAAGCTCAGCCATGCAGAATGTCTGCGCCAATGACTTTGCGGCTGCAATCACTGGAATCAAGTTTCAGAGCCAAATAACCTGTTATGTCAAAGCCAAAAGATTTGCATTAGCACCATTAGCTTCCGGTGTTGGGCTAGCTTGTGCATTTGGGTGGAGTTTGTGTGTGTGTGTGTGTGTGTGTGTGTGTGTGTGTGTGTGTGTGTGTGTGTGTGTGTGTGTGTGTTTTGGCCATGTCATTGGGTTTGGGGATGAAATCCACCAATCTGTGAACTGTCAAGTTGACGTTTTGTTATATTGGCAAGGCTACTTGATGTTTTTTGTCCGGTCAAAGTGCTCGCATTGCCTTGGCCGCTCGCTTGACTTTCTGGCTTTCTGGCTGCTGTATTTGCAAGCAGAAGGTGATTGACACCTCATCAATCACACCTTGTGTCTCTGATTGTTGCTGTTTGTTTGTTGTTTTTCCTCGGGCACGGTGGTTTCTTCAACGTGAAATTACAGGGACAAGATTTGTCCATAGACGGCTGAATTTTTTTGTTTGTATGTTTTTCAAAACTATTTTTTTACTCATGTATGACTGTCAAGTTACTCTGAGATATATCACAAATGACAATTTATTTTAATGGCTAACTCCTTCTTTAAGACACATGAGAGTGAAGAGTGTAGGAAGCGGCGTCGGTAGAGCAGCACAAACAAAGCAAAAATGTTTTGTTGGAACGTGCGCAAATAAAATGTTGAAAGAGTGCAAATATAGCCACAGCACAATGATTTCACTGTGCAAATGCGGGGGTGGCCAGCCCGGGTCAGGATAAGGAGAACAGCATTGTTTCAAAATAGAGATATGTATATATATATATTTCACACAAAGCAGTTCCAGCGAAAAATTATCAATGAGAAATTTGGGCGGCATGATTTTTACTTTTTTTTGTTTTGTCAAAGTCCGGTCCCATCTGCGCGTCCTCTCGGTCACCGCAAATTTGAAAGGAGCCATAAAGCCCAACAATGAGGAGCGCAGATAATGGAGGAGAGGTTTGGACAGGCCTCGGCTACGGCCACGAATGAAGGCTTTTGCGCCTCGCTCAAAATCCCAGATGGCCTCATAAGGCGGCCAAAGCTTCGTCCGCATGCTCACAGATGTCCTCACTTTGGGCGAACGTGCACTTTGAGGATTCTCGTGTGTTTTGTTTACAAATCTAAGCGGCACCTCGGACAGATTGGGAAAGAATTTTCAAAACATATCGGAAATTGTTTTCCGGGGTCAAACTGAAACGATTTTTGTCTTTATTCTTGTCAAGTATCAAAAGCAAGCAAAAAAAAGTGAGTTTTTGTTCGAGCTGGGCAATATGGTCTGAAAGTAAAATTTCTGGCTTTTTTTTTTCCCACCAAAATCCAATTCTAGATGATAATTTTAGTTCTCAGTGCTATTATTCGAGTTGCGACAAATTATTCTTTTAACCCTTTGAGGGACAGCGGTTACTACAGTGGACAGCTTATCATGTCATCAGGTTGCAGGTTATCATTATTGGTGCATGAAAGGGTGAATAATTGACTGATCGGTTAATCTTTTTTTTCAATTAATTGAATTGGTAAATTGATATGTTTTTAAAATTTCCTTCCCATTATTGAAAAAAAAAAACCCGGACATGACTTCAAATGGTCAGTGCAGAAAACACCGAAATCGATTCTGATTGACTTCCTGGTTCGGCCAGCAGAGTCTGTTAGAAAATCACCAAAAGTGTTACTCATTTTTTCCAAAGTCAAAGCAGATGTTTGCAATGGTCTAGTTTTTATTCAGCACAACGTCTGCTTTCATGCAGGATGACAAAAATCGGACAATATTTTCTGGTGAGAAGCTGAGATGCCAAAGAATTTGTACATGCTTCAGTTCAACAAAGACTGTCAACAATTCAGCGCTAATCAAAATAACTGTCGTTTAATTTCTGAATCCATTAGTTGTCAATTCATCAATTAATTGTTGCGCCGCCAATTGAATGATTTGAATGCAGATTTAGTGATCAAAATGTGCATAATGTGACTTTCAAGAATATCGAATGTACTTTTTGGGAATAACTCCTTTATTCCCCTTTCCCAACCTTTCTCCGTTCCACTATTATGGCGCACCTGCAGATGGGATGTGGTGGCGGCCTGATGTCTGTGAAGCCTGGCCTCTGCAGGAGCGCTGTAATTTTCCCCACCCCACCCTGACATGCACTGTAGAAGGTGACCCGACAGGTTCCCATCCCTGTTTAAAAAAATATATATATATATATATATTATTATAATTATTATTTTATAATTTTTTTCATATACGTCGCTCGGACTGGTTGTGTCTGTTCCATTTCATTCCATGGCAACAAATCTATGGGTGTGCTGATTCTGATTCTGGATAAACCCTGCCTTGTTTTTTGATGAACACTAGGGCCTACTATGCTTCTGTATTTTAATCATGGTCAGGATGGTGCTTGGAAAATTTCGGTGGTGTGAAAAATTTGAGACTCACTAGTCCACGCTGTGTTTGACTCCTGCCGGTTCTGACCCACTGATACCATCAAGAACTCATTAGCAATGGAAGCTCGCATGACCGCGACGCTAAGGAAGTTAGCATTTGTGAGCCTTATGATGTGCTTCAAGGCTTCAAAGTCTTATCAGTGTTGCTAATGATACGTAAGCGATCCATTAGCGACGCAGACGTTGCGCGTGCGTCTTGCTTGAGAAGTGGCGTCTCGCAGCGCGCCGGCGCCGGGAAGACAAAAAGAAAAAAAAAAAAAGAGGAAACTTGCTGGCAGGCCGAAGACTTTCCAAGCGGGGGCAGCGCGCGCGCCACAAAGGCCAACTGTAACTCATCTCGCTGGCCCTCAATGCCACGGCAAACTTTTGGCCGTCTTGTAAGCGAGCTTGAGAGGAACCTGAGAGCACCTGGCTGAATTATTGACACACACACACGCGCACACACGCGGACATGCACACACATGCAGTGGATATAAAACTCTGCCCATCCTCGTTCTAATGCCACACTTTTGTGAGATAAACAAATGACACCAAGATAAGTCATTTAAACAATTTTCCCACTAATGATGTGACCTCAGTTGGAAAAAAAAATCCGCCTGAGAGCAGAAGCAAAAAAATAGGAGTGAGTGTTATTTAAGCTTTTTACGAGGTTGTCATTGCATGAGAGGAAACACCAGAGAAGAAACCGCAAGAGATGTCCGCAATGTCACAACATAGTTTTGCTTCTTTTTTTTTTCTCTCAGCGTGTGCGCAAGCATCGTAGATTAAAAAAAAAAAAAAAATATATATACATATATATATATATATAGGTCCCGTTACGCTTATAACAATAAAGAGATGAATTTCAGGCATAACAATTTATGTCTTTATAGTACAGTATTTGTTTAAATTAAAAACAGAGTAAAAAATTGGCAAATTGTTGTTCTCGTTTCGCAGCTCTGGTCCGTCATATGCGCGGCCTCAGCGTTGTCAAGTCACCCACACGGATGGGAGACGCTTCCCCAAGCCTCCTAGTCTCAGTGTGTTGGTTCGCCATTTCGGGAGGACGTCGACGGGAATCCGAGGTGCCGCTGTGAGTCTTCCAAATGAAAGTGAAATCTTTGAAAAGTGCGGCCGACCTTCTATTTATACGGCGTGACGGTCCCATGAGAGCGTGTTGTTGCAATGAAAGGCGTGCGAGCGGACAGCAGCAGCCTTCCCCAAACTGGCCTAGTTTCTCAGCAGCTCGCAATCAAGCACCGTTAAGCATTGATACAGAGCGCGCTTGTGCTAAATCGGCGCGTTGCAAAATGGCGGCATCCCATCTGTCGTTACGCACGCTCAGAGGACACAACATTAAGAACACCCGTGAGCCGCTCCTCGGTGTTCTCATGGTGCCCAACATAGTTGGCCGAAGCAACGGAGGCTCTCTTTTGAAGTCCACAGACTTGTGTACAAACTACGCTGATAAAGTAGGAATCCTGATTACACTCCTTTACTTAAATAAAAGTGAAATGGCACAGACTCTCAAACGTACCGAACAAGTACAGTGGCCACCAGGGGGCAGTTTAAGACAAACATACAGTGAAACTGAAGAATCCTGCTTGAGTTCTGGCGGTCCTTGACTCTTTGAAGTAGCCAATCATATTGGGCGTGTCCTTCTCGCATCTCAAATACACTCTGAGCTTATCAGTACGGCACTAATATTTGTTGTTCTGCGCAGAGGGTGACGAGTATGTCACTGTGGGTACTGTTAGATTGTCTTTCTTCAGCTTGCTGATCTGCTTTCAATCCATAGCTTAAAGGGTTAAAGCACCGCAGCATAGATGCTAACTAGCATTAGCATTCAGCTTGTGAGGCATTTCTTTTGGCAGTTGTTGAGCTGGTTTCAATGCAGAAAGTGTAATTCTCTTTGTTTTCTGTTTGGTTTGGGGGAAAACCTCAACTGGGAGTGGCATTAATAAGCTTGGAGGCTCTTTTTGGAGGAACTGTTCATATTTGCTTCACTGCTGCCGATCGCAAAGCAAGTTTGGGTTCACTGCCACCATACAGCGCTCATATCTCACTCATCGTATTTGACTTTACTTTGGCGCCAGCCGCTCCTCCCTTAAAAAGGTTTCCAGTTGGCTCCGAATGCCGCTGCTCGCCTTGCAATTGAAGTACGTAAGTGGGGGAGCACAGAACTTTGATTTTGGCCTCGCTCCACTTGCCGCCTGCGCATTTCACGAAGAGTTCGAAGATTCTTTTGACATCTCGAAACGGTCTCAGGTCAGCAGATCCTCTGCGATTCCGACTGCGAAAGTGATAACAGTTTGTTTGAATAGTTTTGAAAGTGTTTTGCGGCTCTGATTGTCTGTATGTTCTATTTTTGTCTTCTGTTTGATTTTTTTTTTTTTTTTATCTATGTACAGATCTCAAAAGTAAAAAGCGTAAATGAATGTTTCTGTCAATTATATAGAATATCTTTTTGATAACTTTGGGGAAACTAAAAATGTGTTTTCAAATGCAGGGAGTGAAAGTAAGAAGTTGTCTTTAAAAAAAAAAAAAAATGCGACCGGAAATATAAATGTCTAAAGAAAAAAAAAAAACACTTAACAAGTAAGTGTACCTAATGAATTGTCCTTGTCCACAAAATGTGCTGGCATTTCGCTAGGTTGACTCATTTGCATACGCACACATGCACAAGGTGTTTGAAAAGCTTTCAGGAGATTCAAAGCCATCGTGCGCCAGCGGGCGAGACGCACGAGAAAGCCCAGCGGGTTTAGCACTAAAAAAAGGCAACACAGAGGAAAAAAAAACAAAAAAAAAAAAAAACAAGTCAAAATGACACGAAGCTGACGTGAAGCAGAATGTCCCTTGTGTGTTATTTTATTTTATTTAATATTTGTTGAAAAAGCCTCAGGGGAGAAGACAAAGTGATCGTAGAAACGTGAGGTCAGGATCAGCTAAGGATGTAAAAATATGGGAAAAAAAACGTGTTTCACATTCAATTCACATTTAAGCCCCCCCAAACCCCCCCCAAGCCGCTACAAGATAAAAGTTCTTCACCTGCCACTTTATTCAATACGCCATCGAATGGAATCCGATATGAAAGATGAACAGACACTCGCACCACCTTTTTCAAGGCAAATCGGCCCAAGTTTGCGCCAACTTTGGCGAGCTCCGCCCACTTTAGAAAAGCTCAGCAAAATGGCCTCACGAAATAGAAAAGCTTATGATTGGTGAGTTGGACTTCCGAAGTGCGAGCTCTGAAATTTGTCTTGAAATGGTTGCTCCAAAACAAAATGGCCGATTTCCTCTTCAATCTCGGGCATGAGGTCGCTGAGACTTTTTGGTGCGTCCCATCTTGACAGACACGTGCACCCAAGCTGGTGCGGATCTGCATGTCAACCTGGCCTCAATGGCTGATATATTTATTTTCCAACTTTCCATGGCTAAAATGGTTACTTGGAGGCAAAATGACCGATGCTAAGATTTTGACCCTGTTTTCTGTGTGTCCTCCAGCGACTGCAGGCCGTTTGTGTGTTTACTGGGCTGGACCGCTGGACCACAATCAGGTAGGATCAAAGCAACAACACACAACGCAAATGTGTGTGTGTGTGTGCGTGTGTGTGTGTGTGTGTGTGTGTGTGTGTGTGTGTGTGAGTCACTTCCTGCCCGAGCGCCTCAGCCGGCCAATCAGAGCACGAGCTCAACGTGTGCGCGCACGCGACGACGCTCTGATTGCGTGTAGCGGCTCTGCATGCGGTTGCCATGGCGCCGGCATCCGCACTGTCCCCTGCATGCCTCCATCTGCTCCATCGTTCCTTTATGTCACCTCATACATGAACGAATCTTCTTTATTGTGCATGTGTGCGTGCGGAGGGTTAACATGTCATTGGCCTGGCGTCGTGTGTTACCATGACAACCTTGGCATCTGTTCCACTTGTGACGACGTCACCTGATGTCGATTATGTTTAAAATGAGCATATAAACCGGAGCTGAGACGCTCATACTGTAGTTGGTAGTTGTTGTTTTTTTTCTTTTAATTGAAGTCATATTTTTCAGAATGTTGGAGAAAAAAAATAGACTAAACGTGTCTCTTCTATTGTAAAAAAAAAATATGAGAAAGCTTTGAAATGCAATTTCTGAAATATGACTTTCTGTCTCGGTTGACACACGCGCACGCTTTCACTTTCGCTCACGCGTTGAAATGAGGCAAAGTGTGTGGTAAAAAAGGCAGGAAGTGAAGAGAAAGTGTATCTTGAGTTGCCATGGTGATGGTGGCTTGAGACTCGGATGCAAGCTGCGCCCTTGACGGAATGGCACGGGAGATGGATTTTTTTTTTTTTTTTGTGCGTGTGAGATAACAGATGGGCTTCATTTGACTACGATAGGGTGGCAGCGGACAGTTGCCCCGACGACAGCAATTTGTCGAGTTCCTGTTTCCTCCACGTGGCCTCGCGAGATGGGGACGGGCTGATCAAGTGATCGAGGTGATAAGATGAGGAGGTGATGAAACGAGAGCGAGAGAAGCTCGCGGCCTTGAGGAGGTCAGAGGACGAGTTGGGCAGCGGGGGGGGGGTGGCGGCGTCATGAAGCGAGGAGGCAAGGCGAGTTGGATGAAAGGAGGCCACAAGGCTGTGTAGCGAGGACATGAGGAGGCGAGGACGCGAGGTGCTCTACGTGTGCGCGCGCGTACGAGATAAGCCACACGCATCATTCGACTGGCGTAGCGTAGAAGGCACGAGCGTTGCCGAGCCCGCAGCCATCCGTCCACTTCCTGTTTCCTCCACGCCGCCTCGCGCCCACTCCAGCGGCTTTTGTTCCGCCATTCAAATGACATGAAAAGTGCCCGCGTGAGAGTTCACGGTAGTACCAATCACTTCCGCGTCATCTGACATGCAAATGAAGGCTTTGCGGCTTCTGCAGCCGAACCACTTCCTGTCGTGCGTGCATATGCGGAAGCGCGAGTTCATGAGAGCGCTCCTCTTTTGCTCTGCTCTTCGTCCTCTTTCATTTTGCTTTTTTTTTTTTTTTTGCCGTCTCACCTCCGTGTGTCCTCCTCATCCTCCCCATCGTCATCAGACCCCCGCTGATTAGAAACAGGTGTCGCGCCCCCTGCCCTCGCTCGCTCGCTGGCTCGCCGCCGGAGACGAGAGAGGGACGGAAGGAGGAAGACGAGGGAGAGTGCAGAAAGTTGGCGTGAGGCTGCGGCCTTGACGGGCGGATGGAGAAGGAGAGGGGAGGCAGGTTGTTATTAGCGCTCGTCGATTGGAGGCACTTAGCGGGGCAAAGCTGTTATTTGAGTGACGTCATTTCCTGTACCCCCCACGCAGGAAGTCGACATGCTGAAAGGAGGCCAAACTCACCCCCGCCAACCCCAAAAATACACACACACACACACACACGCTATATATATATACATATAT